CGTTTACCCGTGGCCACAGTAACAGCCTGGTTGATTAGGACCTGATCCACCACGAGTCCTGTTCACAGACCTGAACGCGGGGGCGTTGATGCCCGAAACCTCCAGGTATACTCCAGGACGTAACCTGGAGGTTGAAATATACATACAAAACTTCATTTGCTTTGATAGTCTACGTGAGAATATCTCTCTCTCTCTCTCTCTCTCTCTCTCTCTCTCTCTCTCTCTCTCTCTCTCTCTCTCTCTCTCTCTCTCTCTCTCTCTCTCTCTCTCACACACACACGCGCGCGCTCGAAGTGTCCCTGTTTGCAGATGATGTGAAGTTGATGAGAAGAATTCAATCGAACGAGGACCAGGAAGAACTACAAAGGGATCTGAACAGGTTGCAGACCTGGTCCAGCAACTGGCTTCTGGAGTTCAATCCCACCAAGTGCAAAGTCATGAAGATTGGGAAAGGACAAAGAAGACAACAGACGGAGTACAGTCTAGGAGGCCAGAGACTACAAACCTCACTCAAGGAAAAGGATCTTGGGGTGAGTATAACACCGGACACATCTGAGGCGCACATCAACCAAATAACTGCTGCAGTATACGGGCGCCTAGCAAACCTAAGAACAGCATTCCGACATCTTAATAAGAAACCCACACCTAGTCAAGCATGTAAGGAAACTAGAGAAAGTGCAAAGGTTTGCAACAAGACTAGTCCCGGATCTAAGGGGTATGTTCTACGAAGAGAGGTTAAGGGAAATCGACCTGACGACACTGAAGGACAGGAGAGATAGGGGGAATATAATAACGAAATATAAAATACTGAGAGGAATCGACAAGGTGAACAGAAACAGGATGTTCCAGAGATGGGACACAGTAACAAGGGGTCACAGTTGGAAGTTGAAGACTCAGATGAATCACAAGGATGTTAGGAAGTATTTCTTCAGTCACAGAGTTGTCATGAAGTGGAATAGTCTGGGAAGTGTTGTAGTGGAGGCAGAATCCATACATAGCTTTAAGAAAAGGTATGATAAAGCTCATGGAGTAGGAAGAGTGACCTAGTAGCGGCCAGTGAAGAGGCGAGACCAGGAGCAACTATAACTAGGTGAGTACGTACACACACACACACACACACACACACACACACACACACACACACACACACACACACACACACACACACACACACACACACACACAGAAAAGTCAGTAAACGAAATGATGGAATATGTAACAACAAAATGCAAGGAGGCAGAGGAAAGGTTTGTTCCCAGGGGCAACAGAATGAATGGGAAGACCAAAGGGAATCCTTGGTTTACCCGAAGGTGCAGGGAGGCAACAACTAAGTGCATTAGAGAATGGAAGAGGTACAGAAGGCAAAAGACCCAGGAAAATAAAGAGATCAGTCGAAGAGTCAGAAACGAGTATGCACAGATAAGGAGGGATGGCCAGCGACAGCATGAAAACGACATAGCATCAAAAGTCAAGTCTGACCCGAAACTGCTGTATGGCCACATTAGGCGAAAGACAACAGTCAAAGACCAGGTGATCAGGCTGAGGAAAGAAGGTGGGGAACTCACACGAAACGATCAAGAGGTATATGAGGAGCTCAACAAGAGATTTAAGGAAGTATTCACAGTGGAGAGACAGGGGGAACTGGGAAGACAGGACAGAGGGGGAAACCAACAGGGAGTACATCAACAAGTGCTGGATGACATACACACAACTGAGGAGGTGAAGAAGCTACTAAGTGACCTTGATACCTCAAAGACAATGGGACCAGACAACATCTCCCCATGGGTCCTTAGAGAGGGAGCAGAAATGATGTGTGTCCCATTAACCACAATCTTCAACACATCCCTTGAAACTGGGCAACTACCTGAGGTATGGAAGACGGAAAATGTAGTTACCATTTTTAAAAAGGAGACAGAAAAGAGGCGTTAAACTACAGACCAGTGTCACTGACGTGTATAGTATGCAAAGTCACGGAGAAGATTATCAGGAGGAGAGTGGTGGAGCACCTGGAACGGAACAAAAGTATAAATGACAACCAGAACGGATTCATGGAAGGCAAATCCTGTGTCACAAACCTTCTGGAGTTTTATGGTAAAGTAACAGAAGTAAGAGATGAGAGAGAGGGGTGGGTTGATTGAATCTTCTTGGACTGCAAGAAGGCCGTCGACACAGTTCCTCACAAGAGATTAGTGTAGAAACTACAGGATCAGGCACGTATAATGGGAAGGGCACATCAATGGATCAGAGAATACCTGACAGGGAGGCAACAACGAGTCGTGGTACGTGACGAGGTATCACAGTGGGCACCTGTGACGAGCGGGGTCCCACAGGGGTCAGTCCTAGGACCAGTGCTATTTTTGGTATATGTGAATGACATGATGGAAGGGATAGACTCAGAGGTGTCCCTGTTTGCAGATGATGTGAAATTAATAAGGAGAATTAAATCAGATGAGGATGAGGCAGGCCTTCAAAGAGACCTGGACAGGCTGGACACGTGGTCCAGCAACTGGCTTCTCGAATTTAACCCTGCCAAATGCAAAGTCATGAAGATCAGAGAAGGGCAAAGAAGACCGCAGACAGAGTATAGGCTAGGTGGCCAACGACTGCAATCCTCGCTCAAGGAGAAAGATCTTGGCGTGAGTATAACACCGAACACGTCTCCGGAAGCACACATCAACCTGATAACTGCTGCAGCATATGGGCGTCTGGCAAACCTGAGATTAGCATTCCAATACCTAAGTAAGGAATCTTTCAAGATACTGTACAGCGTGTGCGTCAGGCCCATACTGGAGTATGCAGCACCAGTTTGGAACCCGCACCGGGTCAAGCACGTTAAGAAATTAGAGAAAGTGCAAAGGTTTGCGACAAGGTTAGTTCCAGAGCTAAGGGGAATGTCCCATAAAGAAAGGTTGAAGGAAATCGGCCTGACGACACTGGAGGACAGGAGGGATAGGGGAGACATGATAACGACATACAAAATACTGCGTGGAATAGACAAGATGGACAGAGACAAGATGTTCCAGAGAGGGGACACAGAAACAAGGTGTCACTCTTGAATGTTGAAGACTCAGATGAGCCACAGGGATGTTAGGAAGCATTTCTTCAGTCATAAAGCGGTCAGGAAGTGGAACAGTCTGGCGAGCGATGTAGTGGAGGCAGGAGCCATACATAGCTTTAAGATGAGGTATGATAAAGCTCATGGAGCAGGGAGAGAGAGGACCAAGTAGCGTTCAGCGAAGAGGCGGGGCCAGGAGCTGAGTCTCGACCCCTGCAACTACAATTAGGTGAGTGCACACACACGCATACACGAGAGAGAGAGAGAGAGAGAGAGAGAGAGAGAGAGAGAGAGAAGAGAGAGAGAGAGAGAGAGAGAGAGAGAGAGAGAGAGAGAGAGAGAGAGAGAGAGCCTCTTGGTTAAACCCGAAATGCAGAAACGCAAAAAAGGAAATGCATAAAAGCGTGGAAACAATATTAGACAGCAAAGGGCAGACGAGAGCAAAGAGGTGAACAGATTAGCCAGAAACGAATGTGCTAGGGAGAGGACAGTGGCTGAGCGACAATTTGAGAATGACACAGCAAAAGCCAAGTCTGAACCAAAACTCTTCCATAACCACACCAAAACAAAGACGACAGTAAAAGACCAGATAATTCGATTGAAGAAAGAGCTCACGTAAACGACAAGAAAGTCTGTGCAATGTTGAACAAACGATTTGAAAAAGTCACAGTGGAAATAGGGACGAAAGCAAAGCCTAGAAGAAAAGGTACACAGACAGGAGTACCTATGGCAGAGAGTCTTTAAAACTCTCAGGAGTTTTGGACTCCCCTGTCATGGGCTCGATCCCCACCCGTTCTGTGATTTTTAAAAGGTAATATTTAAACTATATAAAAATTACTGTAAAATGCTCTAATAACTCAAAGAACATATTATTTTATGAGATGCAAATAATGAGCGTAATTATCCCGCCTGCCTTGAAAGGAGCCCTGAGCATATAACATTCCAAACGTGAGAGCACAAGTGCCTTAAATAATATAATTGGCCTTGCCTCAATTGTTATGAAATTTCTTATGATAGGGGGAAGCGTAATTCGTGAGGTCTCTGTTAGGAAAGTTATTGTGGTAGAGAAAACCATCACTATTTTCAAGGTTCTCGATGTTGTCACAGTGGGAAAATGATCACTTGGTCACAAAGAAACCGACAGCGAGCCAGACGCTCTGGCCAAGAATGGAGAACAGGAAGACACCGATGTTGGCGAAAGCTCCTGGGTCAAGCATAAGGAAACAGATTCCGGCTAACACATAGGGAGCGGAGGCGAACACTCCCACCGTGTTGAAGGGAGGACACACAGCTGCCATCATTAAGGCTTCAAAGGCATATTTATGCGTCTTGGTGATGATGGCGACGAAGGTAACTCCCTTGGACTCTGCTATCTTGGTAACGAAACCAAGTAAGGTTGCTGAAGCGATGGGGGCAAACCAGAGAGCTGGGTGGATGGTACCCACTCCTCCACACACCAACACACGAGAACCTGTTGGAGGAGGAGATGGAAGTAATAAAACTCATGGTGGTTGCAAAGCGCATCTGTAGCAATTGTCACTTTATAGCAGTTTCACTGTTGCATTTCTATCTACAAATACATTTATCAACTACAGTGACATCACACATCCCTTTGTACGATCTTCATTTATTGGAAAATAATTTCGTTATATCCAGATTCTTTTCTACATATGTTAATACAAGCCTCGATCTTCCTCGGCCAGGCAGCCCCTGGGTTCACTAGTAATGTTGGAGGAAGATTCTTCCATACAAACGTACCTCTGTGGTCACATTGGTAGCCCATATTAACCTTTCTCTTACATCTAGTTAGAAAAATATTATTTTAGTCTAATATTGCTAATTGCATTGACTTGGTAACTTAAGGGCTTCGCTGTCTAGCTTTCAAACTCCATTCCTTGAGTTGATGAATAAGACATACGCAGCACATGAGTATCATTATTAAGAGACGTTTCACCAGCACTCCAGGCTTCATCAACCTAATACAGAGGCATTAGGACGGTTACTTTTGTACTGGAGTCAGTGGAAGAAGTAGTGAGATGCAGCAGTTGTAGTAGTAAAACTCAGTGAATAAACCACACATACACACACACACACACACACACACACACACACACACACACACACACACACAACACACACACACACACACACACACACACACACACACACACACATTTAATCCCGCCAAATGCAATGTCATGAAGATAAGGGAAGGGCACAGAAGACCGCAGACAGAGTATAGGCTAGGTGGCCAAAGACTGCAAACCTCGCTCAAGGAGACAGATCTTGGAGTGAGTATAACACCGAGCATGTCTCCGGAAGCACACATCAACCAGGTAACTGCTGCAGCATTGGGGCGCCTGGCAAACCTGAGAACAGCGTTCCGATACCTTAATAAGGAATCGTTCAAGACACTGTACACCGTATACGTCAGGCCCATACTGGAGTATGCAGCACCTGTTTGGAACACGCACTTGATCAAGCACGTCAAGAAACTAGAGAAAGTGCAAAGATTTGCGACAAGGTTAGTTCCAGAGCTAAGGGGAATGTCCTATGAAGAAAGGTTAAGGGAAATCGGCCTGACGACACTAGAGGACAGGAGGGTCAGGGGAGACATGATAACGACATATAAAATACTGCACGGAATAGACAAGGTGGACAAAAACAGGATGTTCCAGGGAGGGGACACAGAAACAAGAGGTCACAATTGGAAGTTGAAGACACAGATGAGTCAGAGAGATATTAGGAAGTATTTCTTCAGTCATAGAGTTGTCAGGCAGTGGAATAGCCTAGAAAGTGATGTAGTGGAGGCAGCAACCATACATAGTTTTAAGACGAGGTTTGATAAAGCTCATGGAGCGGGGAGAGAGAGGGCCCAGTAGCAACCGGTGAAGAGGCGGGGCCAGGAGCTAAGACTCGACCCCTGCAACCACAAATAGGTGAGTACAAATAGGTGAGTACACACACACACACACACACACACAGGAGCTCGGACTCGACCCCCGCAACCTCAACTAGGTGAGTACACACACACGCACGCACCACGCACGCACACGCGCACACACGCACACACGCTCACACACACGCACACACACACACACACACACACACACACACACACACACACACACACACACACACACACACACACACACACACACACACACACACACACACACACACACACACACACACACACAGTGGAATAGTTTGGGAAGCGATGTAGTGAAGACAGGATCCATATATAGCTTTAAGCAGAGGTATGATAAAGCTCACGGTTCAGGGAGAGTGACCTAGTAGCGACCAGTGAAGAGGCGGGGCCAGGAGCTAGGACTCGACCCCTCCAACCTCAACTAGGTGAGTACACACACACACACACACACACACACACACGAGACAGAGATAACTGCTGCAGCATATGGGCGCCTGGCAAACCTGAGAATAGCGTTCCGATACCTAAGTAAGGAATCTTTCAAGACACTTTACACCGTGTGCGTCAGGCCCATACTGGAGTATGCAGCACCAATTTAGAACCCGCACCGAGTCAAGCACGTCAAGAAATTAGAGAAAGTGCAAAAGTTTGCGACAAGGTTAGTTCCAGAGCTAAGGGAAATGTCCTACGAAGAAAGGTTAAAGGAAATCGGCCTGACGACACTGGAGGACAGAAGGGTTAGGGGAGACATGATAACGACATACAAAATACTGCGTGGAATAGACAAGGTGGACAGAGACAGGATGTTCCAGAGATAGGACACAGAAACAAGGAGTCACACTTGGAAGTTGAAGACTCAGATGAGTCAGAGGGATGTTAGAAAGTATTTCTTCAGCCATAGAGTAGTCAGGAAGTGGGACAGTCTGGCGAGTGATGTAGTGGAGGCAGGAGCCATACAGAGATTTAAGACGAGGTATGATGAAGTTCATGGAGTAGGGAGAGAGAGGACCTAGTAGCATTCGTTGAAGAGGCGGGGCCAGGAGCTGAGTCTCGACCCCTGCAACCACAGTTAAGTGAGTACACACATGGTTACTGTATATCTGTAGTACATAGTGGCACAACATGCACGAAAGAAAAAAAATCAGACAGAAAACGCACCTAGAGTAAGGAATATAGCCATGGATGCTGCAACACGTTCCCAAGCTCGTTCACTGAGTACAGAAGCCAGGCCAGACGATGCTGAAGTTAAAACTCACACCACACTCGCTATCAGTGCTCCTTCACCTTACTGTGGGAAACATCATAGTTACATGTAATGGCGAACCACCATAGTTACTGTACCTGTGGAACACGCCCAAGTCACTTACTGTGGGAACACCATAGTCACTGTAACCGTTGGGACACCATCAGTCACCTTACCTGTGGGAACATCATAGTTACTGTACCTGTGGGAACACCATAGTTACTGTACCTGTGGGAAACACCATAGTCACTGTACCGTGGGAACACCATAGTCACTGTACCCGTGGCAACACCATAGTTACTGTACCTGTGGGAACACCATAGTCACTGTACCCGTGGCAACACCATAGTTACTGTACCTGTGGGAACACCATAGTTACTGTACCTGTGGGAACACCATAGTCACTGTACCTGTGGGAACACCATAGTCACTGTACCGTGGGAACACCATAGTCACTGTACCTGTGGGAACACCATAGTTACTGTACCCGTGGGAACACCATAGTTACTGTACCTGTGGGAACACCATAGTCACTGTACACGTGGGAACACCATAGTTACTGTACCTGTGGGAACACCATAGTCACTGTACCGTGGGAACACCATAGTCACTGTACACGTGGGAACACCATAGTCACTGTACCGTGGGAACACCATAGTTACTGTACCTGTGGGAACACCATAGTCACTGTACCCGTGGGAACACCATAGTTACTGTACCTGTGGGAACACCATAGTCACTGTACCTGTGGGAACACCATAGTCACTGTATCCTTGGGAAGACCATAGTTACTGTACCTGTGGGAACACCATAGTTACTGTACCTGTGGGAACACCATAGTCACTGTATCCTTGGGAAGACCATAGTTACTGTACCTGTGGGAACACCATAGTTACTGTACCTGTGGGAACACCATAGTCACTGTACCGTGGGAACACCATAGTCACTGTACCCGTGGGAACACCATAGTCACTGTACCCGTGGGAACACCATAGTTACTGTACCTGTGGGAACACCATAGTTACTGTACCCGTGGGAACACCATAGTCACTGTACCCGTGAGAACACCATAGTTACTGTACCTGTGGGAACACCATAGTTACTGTACCTGTGGGAACACCATAGTTACTGTACCTGTGGGAACACCATAGTTACTGTACCCGTGGGAACACCATAGTCACTGTACCCGTGAGAACACCATAGTTACTGTACCTGTGGGAACACCATAGTCACTGTACCCGTGGGAACACCATAGTTACTGTACCTGTGGGAACACCATAGTCACTGTATCCTTGGGAAGACCATAGTTACTGTACCTGTGGGAACACCATAGTCACTGTACCTGTGGGAACACCATAGTCACTGTATCCTTGGGAAGACCATAGTTACTGTACCTGTGGGAACACCATAGTTACTGTACCTGTGGGAACACCATAGTCACTGTATCCTTGGGAAGACCATAGTTACTGTACACGTGGGAACACCATAGTTACTGTACCTGTGGGAACACCATAGTCACTGTACCTGTGGAAACACCATAGTCACTGTACCTGTGGAACACCATAATTACTGTACCTGTGGAACACTATAGTCACTGTACCCGTGGAAACACCATAGTCACTGTATCCGTAGGAACACCATAGTCACTGTACCTGTCGAACACCACAGTCACTGTGCCTGTGGAAACACCATAGTCACTGTACCCGTGGGAGCACCATAGTCACTGTACCCGTGGAAACACCATAGTCACTGTACCTGTGGAACACCATAATCACTGTACCTGTGGAACACCATAGTCACTGTACCCGTGGAAACACCATAGTCACTGTACCCGTGGAACACCAGTAACTATACCGTAGGGAATTCACTTCTCAGGCGATCTGTGACTTGTGAATAAATCAGCATAAAACGAGGCGATCCTTCAGGGGTAGAGTCTTGATGTTTCCTTACATTAAAGATGATTATTAGTTTTCCCCAGCACTGTATGTTACTAGAATCTGGGAATTAAGTTTGTTGACATCCCTTGCTTTATTATTATTATTATTATTATTATTATTATTATTATTATTATTATTATTATTATTATTAATAATAATATTTACTACAAGTACATGTACAATGTATACAGGCCTAGCTGATATCAATGACATACTACTACTTAGAAAGCCGCTTGTTATGCAGAACATTTCGGGCAAATTAGGTCCGTTTGTCCCAGGATACGACCCACACCAGTCGACTAACTCCCAGGTACCCAGTTTACTGATGGGTGTAAAGAAACACTGTGTAAAGAAACACGCCCAGTGTTTCTTTACCCAGACCCTCGCCGTGTGAAGCGAGAGCATTGGCCACCAGGCCAAGGGGTACCGTGACTGAATTATGTACTGAATACAAGATACATTAGATATATTATCACCACTACTAACCACACTGAGTTGGCTGCACCATTACCATCATGATATAAGACTGGATACTGAGTTGAGGTACAGACTCTAGCAATGAATGAAACCATTTTACTGTGGCTGAGTCAGTCTCCGCTCTCGCCTGTTCCCACAGCTCCTGCGGTAGCTTCCTCAGTGTTAAATACTGTTGCTGTTGCGTTTCTTGTGGCTGCTGCTGCTGCTGCTGTTGCTTTTTTTGTTGCCAGCTCTGGGCTCGCCAAGCACGGAAACACCAGATGACTTTGCGGCAGATTCTGAAAAAAATAATTATATTTTAAGGATTTTTTTCCGTTCGGCCTATGCATTTTTTTTGTTTTTTTGCTTCTAAATACTTGCACACTGTTACTTCTCTCTCTCTCATGCATCTGACCATCCCATTCCTCTCATTTAACTCCAATAATCCACTACATGCCGAGTTTGCTGTAAAATTTAACATATACTTCAATACAACTTTGAAGTTACTATTAGAATTGCATTCACTCTTAACTCGCTGAACGTGTATCATTCTCGTGGGAGTCTTTCAAGCATTCCTTATCAGTCTGAATCTGAAGCAATTACATTGCTGATATTTTTCTCATTTTCTTTCCAGTCTCTCTCTCTCGCTCTCGCTCTCGCTCTCGCTCCTGTCCTCTTCGTCTTTCTCTGAGCTCGTTTTTACACTTCAATAACTTCTTGTTTGAGTATGTCAAATTTATTCAGCCTTTTAAAGGATTGAATTAGGTCACCTCGTAGTTTCTCTTTACATAAACCAGATTCAGGTCTTGCAGTATCTTCATGAGGTTTATTTGTGAGTGATGGAATTTCTCTCTCCTCTCTACACATGTAGTGGGAGTAACTCACAGGTAGTGGGGAGCCACTTGGATGAGGAACAGGAGTCTAGCCAGCCACTTGTTGACTGGAGCAACACTAGCAATGTCTGGCCTCGTCAATCTGCAGGTAAATATAACAATTATTGTTCTCTGGCTGCTATACACTTGAATGACGTTGTTCATTTTAATTATACATACATGTATATGCAAAATATATTAAATATATGCAAAATAACCACTGTGAAAAAATAGCGAACATCCAAGCGCGTTCGTAATTTCTCACATTAGCCTGTAAAAAATAGAACAATAGAAGACTTATGAAGGTGAAATATAACCTTACATAGACATTACAATTAGTTAAATATCTTTATTATGCACCCCATACCCATCCTGTGGGCGGTAGTCAAAAGATTACAGAGGTACATAATGGGTCCAGGGACTGGGCCCCAAAGTTTTGATAGCTGAACAAGTTACAAAGGTATTGAACTCCAGGTAGAGCTGGTCACAATCATGACATGTTACAAAGGTAATAAATCATCTACACTTCTATACAAGGTTACAATCATGAACAAATTACAAAGTAATGAGCCATTCACATGTCCACACCTGGTCACAACTGTAATGAGTTATTAGTGCAAATATTAATTGAGACACACACACACACATACACACACAAAAAGGGCGAGATCAGTTTTTGTCTATGGGCTCCAGGAAGCTGAAGGGGAAACTTATGATGAAAGGAAACAGGAGGGGAAAAAAGTGATTGAAGGTGGCCTGGTGGCTAAAAGCTCCCGCTTCACACACGGAGGGCCCGAGTTCGATTCCCGGCAGGTGGAAACATTTCGACACGTTTCCTTACACCTGTTGTCCTGTTCACCTAGCAGCAAATAGGTACCTGGGTGTTAGTCGACTGGTGTGGGTCGCATCCTTGGGGACAAGATTAAAGACCCCAATGGAAATAAGTTAGACAGTCCTCGATGACGCACTGACTTTCTTGGGTTATCCGGGGTGGCTAACCCTCCGGGGTTAAAAATCCGAACGAAATCTTATCTTATTTTATCATGATAGCAATAGGTGATAGCGACATGACCCAGGTGGCAAATTTTCGGAGAATTAGGCGGTTTGCAAGGGGACAGAAACGGCCTCTCAAAGTAATTTTCAAGGCAGAATCAACTTGAACCATGATTCTGCAGGAGAAAACACGACTGAGAGACAAACAAGAGCACTAGAGTGTGTACCTCGATCGAGACAGAACACAAGAGGAAAGGTTGATGCTGGTAAACTCCAGGTACAAAACGAAAGGAAGGAGAGGAAATGGCAAAGATGAACAGAAGAACCCAGATGCAGGTGGAAGGGCAAACACACCCTCCAGAAACACCCACAGAAGGATTCCAACCATGACAACCCCAAGGCAACTGAGCAATGTAAACCGACACTCACACACTGATCCCTCTGCCTCACCCCCCACGCCACAAACCCCACCCATACAGCAACCCCCTATGGGAATTCTTCCCCCACTCCCACTGCAACCCCCCTGTAGGCACCCACCAGGGCTCTCGATCCCCCAACCCCGATCTTCTCCCAGAATCACAGTATTAGAAAAGAAGTTGAAGGTTTGGTACATGAATGCGGATGGAATAACAAATAAATATGAGGAGTGGCATGAAAGAATCAATGAGAAGTCCCCAGACATCATAGCAGTCACAGAAATGAAACTGACTGAGACAATAACAGATGCAATCTTCCCACCAGGATATAAGATCCTGAGGAAAGATAGAAGGAGCAGAGGGGGAGGAGGGGTTGCACTGCTCATAAAAGAATGATGGAGATTTGAGGAAATGGAAGGCATGGACGAGATTGGAGGAAGGGATTACATAGTAGGTACACTTCAGTCTGGGGAACATAAGGTAGTCATTGCAGTGATGTATAATCCACCACAGAACTGCAGGAGGCCAAGAGAGGAATATGAAGAGAGCAACAGAGCAATGGTGGACACATTGACCGAGGTGGCAAGAAGAGCTCATTTGAGCAGAGCAAAGTTACTGGTTATGGGCGATTTCAACCGCAGGGAGATCGACTGGGAATACCTGGAGCCACACAGGGGTCCTGAAACATAGAGAGCCAAGATGATGGATGTGGTACCTGGAGTTTACCTGGAGAGAGTTCCGGGGGTCAACGCCCCCGCGGCCCGGTCTGTGACCAGGCCTCCTGGTGGATCAGCGCCTGATCAACCAGTCTGTTGCTGCTGGCTGCACGCAAACCAACGTACGAGCCACAGCCCGGCTGATCAGGAACTGACTTTAGGTGCTTGTCCAGTGCCAGCTTGAAGACTGCCAGGGGTCTGTTGGTAATCCCCCTTATGTGTGCTGGGAGGCAGTTGAACAGTCTCGGGCCCCTGACACTTATTGTATGGTCTCTTAACGTGCTAGTGACACCCCTGCTTTTCATTGGGGTGATGGTGCATCGTCTGCCAAGTCTTTTGCTTTCGTAGTGAGTGATTTTCGTGTGCAAGTTCGGTACTAGTCCCTCTAGGATTTTCCAGGTGTATATAATCATGTATCTCTCCCTCCTGCATTCCAGGGAATACAGGTTTAGGAACCTCAAGCACTCCCAGTAATTGAGGTGTTTTATCTCCGTTATGCGCGCCGTGAAAGTTCTCTGTACATTTTCTAGGTCGGCAATTTCACCTGCCTTGAAAGGTGCTGTTAGTGTGCAGCAATATTCCAGCCTAGATAGAACAAGTGACCTGAAGAGTGTCATCATGGGCTTGGCCTCCCTAGTTTTGAAGGTTCTCATTATCCATCCTGTCATTTTTCTAGCAGATGTGATTGATACAATGTTATGGTCCTTGAAGGTGAGATCCTCCGACATAATCACTCCCAGGTCTTTGACGTTGGTGTTTCGCTCTATTTTGTGGCCAGAATTTGTTTTGTACTCTGATGAAGATTTAATTTCCTCATGTTTACCATATCTGAGTAATTGAAATTTCTCATCGTTGAACTTCATATTGTTTTCTGCAGCCCACTGAAAGATTTGGTTGATGTCCGCCTGGAGCTTTGCAGTGTCTGCAATGGAAGACACTGTCATGCAGATTCGGGTGTCATCTGCAAAGGAAGACACGGTGCTGTGGCTGACATCCTTGTCTATGTCGGATATGAGGATGAGGAACAAGATGGGAGCGAGTACTGTGCCTTGTGGAACAGAGCTTTTTACCGTAGCTGCCTCGGACTTTACTCTGTTGACGACTACTCTCTGTGTTCTGTTAGTGAGGAAATTATAGATCCATCGACCGACTTTTCCTGTTATTCCTTTAGCACGCATTTTGTGCGCTATTACGCTATGGTCGGTCACACTTGTCGAAGGCTTTTGCAAAGTCTGTATATATTACATCTGCATTCTTTTTGTCTTCTAGTGCATTTAGGACCTTGTCGTAGTGATCCAATAGTTGAGACAGACAGGAGCGACCTGTTCTAAACCCATGTTGCCCTGGGGTTGTGTAACTGATGGGTTTCTAGATGGGTGGTGATCTTGCTTCTTAGGACCCTTTCAAAGATTTTTATGATATGGGATGTTAGTGCTATTGGTCTGTAGTTCTTTGCTGTTGCTTACTGCCCCCTTTGTGGAGTGGGGCTATGTCTGTTGTTTTTAGTAACTGTGGGACGACCCCCATGTCCATGCTCCCTCTCCATAGGATGGAAAAGGCTCGTGATAGGGGCTTCTTGCAGTTCTTGATGAACACAGAGTTCCATGAGTCTGGCCCTGGGGCAGAGTGCATGGGCATGTCATTTATCGCCTGTTCGAAGTCATTTGGCGTCAGGATAACATCGGATAGGCTTGTGTTAATCAAATTTTGTGGCTCTCTCATAAAAAATTCATTTTGATCTTCGACTCTCAGTCTGGTTAGCGGCTTGCTAAAAACTGAGTCATATTGGGACTTGAGTAGCTCACTCATTTCCTTGCTGTCATCTGTGTAGGACCCATCTTGTTTTAAGTAGGGGCCCAATACTGGACGTTGTTCTCGATTTTGATTTGGCATAGGAGAAGAAATACTTTGGGTTTCTTTCGATTTCATTTATGGCTTTTAGTTCTTCCCGCGATTCCTGACTCCTAAAGGATTCTTTTTAGCTTAAGTTCGATGCTTGCTATTTCTCTGACCAGTGTCTCCCTATGCATTTCAGATATATTGACCTCTTTTAGCCGCTCTGTTATTCTTTTCCGTCGCCTGTAAAGGGAGCGCCTGTCTCTTTCTATTTTACATCTACTCCTCCTTTTTCTTAGAGGAATAAGCCTTGTGCATACATCGAGTGCCACCGAGTTAATCTGTTCTAGGCATAAGTTGGGGTCTGTGTTGCTTAGTATATCTTCCCAGCTTATATCGGTTAGGACTTGGTTTACTTGGTCCCACTTTATGTTTTTGTTATTGAAGTTGAATTTGGTGAATGCTCCCTCGTGACTAGTCTCATTATGTCGGTCTGGGGCTCCACGCATACATGTCTGAACCTCAATTATGTTGTGATCTGAGTATATTGTTTTTGATATGGTGACATTTCTTATCAGATCATCATTGTTAGTGAAGATGAGGTCTAGTGTATTCTCCAGTCTAGTTTACCTGGAGTTTACCTGGAGAGAGTTTCGGGGGTCAATGCCCCCGCGGCCCGGTCTGTGACCAGGCCTCCTGGTGGATCAGCGCCTGATCAACCAGGCTGTTGCTGCTGGCTGCACGCAAACCAACGTACGAGCCACAGCCCGGCTGATCAGGAACTGACTTTAGGTGCTTGTCCAGTGCCAGCTTGAAGACTGCCAGGGGTCTGTTGGTAATCCCCCTTATGTGTGCTGGGAGGCAGTTGAACAGTCTCGGGCCCCTGAACTTATTGTATGGTCTCTTAACGTGCTAGTGACACCCCTGCTTTTCATTGGGGGGATGGTGCATCGTCTGCCAAGTCTTTTGCTTTCGTAGTGAGTGATTTTCGTGTGCAAGTTCGGTACTAGTCCCTCTAGGATTTTCCAGGTGTATATAATCATGTATCTCTCCCTCCTGCGTTCCAGGGAATACAGGTTTAGAAACCTCAGGCGCTCCAGTAATTGAGGTGTTTTATCTCCGTTATGCGCGACGTGAAAGTT